CAATCCTGACTATAGTCTAAATAAGGATCTTCCAAATTATTCTGGACTTATGTCTGGCCTTTGCAACTGACACAGAATTGGCCTCTAAATGATGACTTCTTTTTATATAGCAAGTAAAAAGTCACACATGTAACTATCAACAGGTGAATGCTGAGTAAAAGCAGCCAAACAGAGTATATATTATATGGTTCTTAAACAAAACAGATCAGTGGTTTCCTGGCTGGGAGGAAGACAGCAGAGTCGGGGAACAGAGACAGCAAAGACACATTACAAAGGGGCACGAGAGTATAAAGAAACTTCTGAGGGGATGGATATGTTTTTCTTGATTTTGGTGACAATTTCACAGATGTATGCATATGTCAAAACCCATCCAATTGCACAGTTTAAATATACACATTTTATTATCAACTGAACTTCAGTAAAGCTGAAAAAAAGAGAATAAACGCTTTTGTTTCAGGAAATAAATGTTCCCTAATAGTATAATATATATGGGTAAGCCCCAAAAATCTACTTTAATTGAATTTAAAGATCTTTTCAATTACTTTCCTGTATCTTTGCTGCCTTCCGAAATCAAGCTTCTTGATTACAACAAACAGAATCTGCCTTCATTATGAAGTTACTCATTTCCCACAACTCTTTTTCTTCCTCTTACTACCTTTTCTTGAGTATCTCTGAAGGCTTTTACCTGGATCTCTTGGAATTGTTCCTTCTTACAATGATAAAGATAATACTTGTCATAGTGCTTTACAGTTTACAAAAGTATTTCCATCCTTTTTTCAAACCAATCCTGAAAAATAGGCTCTTGTGGAGTACATATTTTCAGCATATATATTCTACAGATTTAAAAAACTAAGGCTGAGATCAAATATATATAAGTTGCTCAAGATTACAAATAAATGATCAAATTCTGAGTCAAATACAAGTCTACAGACTCCAAATACATGTTGTCTCCTCCCAACCTGCCTGACTTGCCACTCTTTATTTTCATCATCATCTACCTGGAGATGATGTCCTAGTCCATACTTCAAGAGACAGGGTCTTGTCAAGCTGCCCAGGTTGGAGAGCAGTAGCTCCGCACAGGCACGGTCCCACTACAGATCAGCACTAGAGTTTTGATGAGTTCTGTCTCTGACCTGGGACAATTCATTGTTCCTTAGGCAATCTTGTGGTCCCTCATTCTTATGCTGATGGATGTCAATATTGTCGATGTTGTACTTAGTGGAGACAGTTTATCAGTGGTGCATACAACAATACAGCCAATAGTGGCAGGTTGGGGGCTGGCCACAACAGAAACACCAACTATGTGTTTTAGGGTGGGGACTTTGGGTCACAAAGTAATAGTCAACCTGGGACTGATGTCAAACATATGAGCAATCAATCAATCATGCCCAAGAACTGAAGCCCCAGTGAAAACCCTTATCTGGGTTAGCTTTCCCAGTTTGCAATAATTAGTGCATACTGTCATACATTGTTGCAGGGAGCACATGTCCTGAGGTCAAAAGAAGCTTATTTTTGAAACCCGCACAGATTTTGCCCTGTGTCAGCTTCCTTTGACCAATTTTAATCTGTATTCTGTCCCTATAACAAACTGCAACTGAGTATGACAACTTTCAGTGAATTCTGTGAGTCCTTCCAATAAACTACTAAACCTGAGGGTGGTTTTGGGAAACCCCCAACTTGCAGTTGGTGTGAGAAGTAAGGGCAGTCTTGTGGACTTTGCCCTCAAACCTCGGTCTGGCTAACTCCAGGAACATACTAATTTGTCATAAAGTCTTACCAATTATTCTCCCATTAAGATTCAACTTAACACCTCCACCTGATAGTCATAGACAGTAGAATAATCAAGCAATATTTTCTAACTGTGGCTGCCAGGGCCAGGGATTTCTCAAGAGATGGCTCTGGGAATGAGAGTGCAGGGTAGTGGGGTCTTAGAAATGTCATGGTTCGATTTGAAAACCACTGGTCCAATGAAGTGGACACAAGCTTTGGAATCTGCTACTCACTTGTTAAGTAACCTTAGGCAAATAATTTAATCTTTCTAAGCCTCGCTGTTAAAACTGCAAACAGCAGTATCTACCTTTCAAAATAATCATGAGAATTAAGATATAAAAGATAGGGAAAGCCTAATCCAGTGCCTGCCATACAGCTGATCCACAATAACATAAATAATCTCTCCAGTTACTGATGAATATACAAGACCATACTGATCTTCTATAGTTTCTCCATTCAAGTCCATGCTGCCAGACTGGTCATTCCCATATACATTTTTTCATGCTATCATTGCATTTAAAAACAATAGTTCTCAATCACATCTAGATCAAATCAGGTAGCTTGACTAGGAATTAAGAAGCATGGCTATATTTCCTGGGCGGAAAAGTTGGATCGACTGAGTCCCCTAACTTTTTCCTAACATTCTCTTGATTCTCATCAAGGTACCTCTGTTCTATCTAAAGTGCCTACTTTACTTCTCAGTTCTCTCTCTCTCTCTCTCTCTCCTCACTCTGCCCCCTTATCTGGATTGCCTCCTGTCAGGTAATCCAGACACGTTAATTGCTTTGGGACAGGGTATCCTAATTCACAGCTTCCTAACCAGAATGCAAGTGCTTTGAATGGATCACAGGTATGCCTGAGATATTGATCCTCTGCTCTCCAGGCAGCAGGGGCAGGGCTTGAGACATTGGGGAAAGTGCACACTGATGCCTTTTGGCAATGAGCAGTTTATGTTAATGAAATGCACAATTACCATTTTCTACGTATGTCATGATGTGAAAAAGATGTTGACCAGTACCCTCACCTCACCCTACAGAAATATGCTTCTTTACTCATCATCTCGATGGCATAATTTTTGCCTTAGCTGCCCCTTTGGGTAGATGACAGTAAGCTAGAGGTAATGGGGAACATGGTACTTATGAGTTATTACGCCTACTCTTAACTCTGTAACCTTGGACAAGTCACAACTGTTTTAAGACTCAATGTCTTCATATATGTACATTTCTAAAGTTAGCAGCAAGGCTCAACTCTATAATGAGCATACGAAAACTCAAAATGCTGGGTTATCACTACTAACAAATGTTCCTTGAGTTAACTGATTAATGATATGATCCTATACACTAAAAAGAATTCAGATGAAGAAATTTGTTTTGTTTTGTTTTTGTGTTTTTTTGGGTCAACGAAATTGATCTTTTATTTGTCCAACTCCACTTTTAAGCTGTCTATACAAATGTAATACAAAGTACATTCCTGGAAAACCAATATGGGTAGTTTTGACATCAGCAGCTAATTTTTCCAACACTGTGCCTAAATATGAAGAAGTCTTCTAGGGCTTGATTTACTATACACCATCTTTCCAGGTATGAAAAAATTCCAAAGTTTCACCATATCTTTTAATTTACTCTCAAGATTTACACGGGCTCTGTGAACATCTGATTACCTATTTACAATCCATAAATCCTCTTTGTGAGATTCTTCTTGTGAAAATTTCCCAGAGGGCATATTTACTAAAGTGGTAATACATTATTTTGACCTGAGGACTCTCAGAAATGACACGAAGTCAAAAGGTAATGTGTGGGGCGTACTACATAACATTCTGGAACTGTCAATTACTAGTCAGTAACTGGTTTTAAAAAAAAAGACCCTTTGGAAGCATCAATAAATCAGCAAGTTATGAGTCAGTGTGATCACAGAGGGGTTCAAAGAAGTCTACAAGGGGAATGAGATTCTTAGAAACACTGTCACCATATTATGAAATTGCCTTACCTCTCCCAGGTCATCTGCCACCCACTGCCTCTCCTGGTCCCATCCCCTCGTTCCAACCAGACTGAACTTTCTGCAGTACACCATATTCTTCCATAATTATTTGCCTTGGCTCACACTGTCCTTCTATCTCCATACCCTTCCGTTCCTCTTCACCTGGCAAACACCTACAACTCTTTCAAGGACCAGAAGGCTGCAAGTTCCCTGAGAGTAGAAACCACAGAGTTTTGTTCACAGCTGCTGTATCTTCAGCGTCTAACATAGTTAGTAGGTGCTCAATAATTAATGGAAGAATGGAGGCTCAAAGAAACTTAAAGCATCTCTTAGCTGAGAGCATAGCATCTCTGCTTCACTCCTTCCCAACATACACACTTGGCTGGCCGCCCCCTTTTCTGTGCTCCCATGATACTCTGTGACTATTTCTACCATACATTTTTCACTTGTACCGTAATTCTCCGTGAACTCTATGAGGGCGAAGATAGTAAGATGTCATCGTTTATCCCTAGAACTTTGCACAGTGCTTGAGACACAGTGAGGAGACAATAAATGTTCGCTGAACAAGTGAAAGGCGATGTCAGAGCACCCCGAGGCTATACAGGCACGCGTCCCATCCTCGTAGCCTCTGCGATCCTCGCGCCCGCACCCGGCCCGGTTTCCTCCTCCAAAGAGGCGGCCGCGGAGCCCTCCTTCGCAACTCCCCGCAGACGCAGCCCCTGTTTCCTCCGGCCAATTAAAGTCCAACTGCTGCCGCCGCTCCTTCGGCGGACCCCAAGCCCCAGCTCGGGCTCGGGCCCCACTGCGTGGAGGGAGGCTGACTACAGATGCGCGCCGGCGACGCGGCGGGAAGGCGGGAAGGCTGGAAGGCTGCTCGTCCGCTCGGCGGCCGCGCGAGGCGCCCCGAAGCCGGCGCAGCTGGGACTCCACTAACGCCGCGGTCCGCGCGCGTGCCGCCGGCGTCCGCACCTTCCCGGTGGCGAGCCCTCGGCCTGTGCCCCGTCCCCTCCACCCGCCGCCCCCGAGCCAGGCTCGGCAGCCCCTGCAGACTCCGGCCCGAGCCTGGGGTGTGCAGCCCAGGCCAGTGTCCCGGTCCCCGACTAGGGGCGGAGGTAGGGGCTGGGAGTCCGGGGACCCCGGCCCGCGACCCCGCGGCCTCCGCCGCTGTCCTCGGCCCTCGGTCTCCAGACCCCCGCGTCCCGCCGGGTTCCCAGGGCGGCGGAGCGCGGGCCCGCGGCGCAGAGCGCACTGACCTGGAAGTGCAGCGCCATCTTCCCGGGAGGCGGCGCCGGCCGGCCGGTCTGCACCGAGCGCCCTAGGAGAGGGAGCGGGGGCGGGCGCCGCGGAGCCCCAGCCGCCCGCGGGGTCCCTGCGCCGCTCGCCGGCTCGCGCGCGCTCGCTCCTCGCAGCCTCAGACGCCCTGGGAGTCCGCGATGGAAGCGATGGAAGCGCTGGAGGGGCGGGGCGGGGCGACGGGGGCGGCACGCGGGGCGGGGCCGACGGGGGCGTGTCCTCCGGGAATCTGAACCACCCCTTGCTCTCAAGCTTCAGCTGCTGCGTGTTGGTGGATCATCACCTCTAACCTCTGCCTTTTGACACAACTACCACGACCCACCGGCCAGCAGTGGACCCTGAGTCGTAAGTCTTCCCAAGGCTCTCTTGACTCCTGACCCTCAAAATACAACTATCGCCCATGGCTCCCGACTCCTGCATCGCCACAGATTTTTTGTCTCCTAGCAGCCACTTATCATGAACACACACGAGCCATAACCTTTGACTACCACATGCCAACTGCTGCCCTTGACCCCTGACTCCTGGGACTCAACTTCCATTGCTGCTTAACAATGTTTTTAGCTTCATTTTGGTTAAAATTAAACTGACCATGTCTACATGCTCTTAAGTTGTAAAATTCAAGCGTTACCTCTTAATCCTTGTCAGTATTCCATTTAATATGAACTTATATTTTACACCAAATGATTCCATTGCAATGAGAATTTATTGGAGCAGAAGTGAGGCAAAGTCACTGCTTCCTGATGTTGTTTGTTTTTTCTTCAAGTTCAACAGTTCCATTTGGGAGCACTGTACTTTAGTATTTAAGGGGGAAACTCCTTTAAGTATTTCTTATATTCAGTTCTGCTAACAACAAAGTGTCTCAGCTTTCGTTAACATAAAATCATCTTATTTTGCCTTCATTTCTTAAAGGATAATTTTGCTGGGTATAAAATTTCACATTGGCTTTTTTTTTTTTTAATCTGTCAGGATCTTAAATATGTCTTTTCATTGTCTTCTGGTTGTCATTGTTTCTACTGAGAAATCAGCCATCAGTCTAACTGTTGCTCCTGTCTTCTCCCATCCTCAGCTACTTGAAAATTTTTCTCTTTTTTCTTTTTTGTTGTCAGCACTTTGAGTTTGATGCCACAAAGTTTGTATATGTGTGTGTGTGTGCTGTATTTATACTGTTTGGGATTCGTAAAGCTCTTTAAGTGTGAATCTGATCTTTTTCATTGGGTTTTGAAAAATCTTGGTCAGTATTTCTTTAAATATTGCATCTGTCCCCTCCTCTATCTTTCCATTCTGGAACTCCAGTTACATGTATGCTAGAACATTTTGCTATATTCCTTGTTTCTCTTTTGCATTTTTTCTATTTGCCTGCTGCCCATTCTATAGAAACTCTGTTCTGCTGTGTCTGAGATGCTATACATCTCCTCTATTAAATTCTTAGTTTTAGTTATAATATTTTCAGCTCTAGAATTTTCATTTAGAAAATTGAAATTTTCATGCTTCCTCCTCTCCCATTTTAAAAATAGATTCCAAGGCTTTGAGGAAATTCTTTATTTTCTTAAACATTTTAGCTATATTATTTAAAGCTCTTATTTATCTGATAACTCCAATATCTGAATCATCAAGTCCTCCTCGGTTTTTTGGTGTTTGGTCCCCCCTTTTTTTAATAGCATATCTCATGATTTCTTGTTGAATTCAAATGATATAAAAGAAAATCTGTAGAGGCTCTAGTTGATAACAAGTTTCTCCAAAGAGGCTTAAGTTTTCTTGTTGTAGTAGGCAGATATGAATACTGGTGGATCATTGAGTCTTTTTAATTCTGGTTAACTTTAATTTTGACCTTACTCCTTGGCCATGGTCCTTACTAGGTCTTACAACTAAAAGCCTAGAATGTGGCTGGGTGTGGAGGCTCATGCCTGTAATCCCAGCGCATTGGAAGGCCAGAGAGGGTGGACTGCTTGAGTTCAAGAGTTTGAGACCAGCCTGACAACATGGTGAAAGCCCATCTCTACAAAAATTACAAAAAATTAGCTTGGTGTAGTAGCATGCGTCCATAGTCCCAGCTACTTGGGAGGCTGAGGTGGGAAGATCACTTGGGCCCAGAAGTTAGAAGGTGCAGTGAGCTCTGATTGCACAACTGACCACTACACTCCAGGGTAGGCAACAGAGCAAGAATGTGTCAAAAAAAAAAAAAAAAAAAAAGCCTGGAATGTTTACCAAGATCCTTCCACCTTGTGGGGCTTGAACTCTAGTCGCTTTGTCACCAGCCCTGTGTAGCTGCTGAAATCTTTGTTGAGCTCTTTGGGTGCTGTTGTTCTGCTGGATTTCTTGGAGTCTCTTCATGTGCATGTGTATCATAGGAAGTGACACAAATTTGGGGGCTCACGTCTCTGTAGTGTCGTTCTTTCTAGAATTTTGTCCCTCAATTCTCAGTTACTCTTGTTCCCAAACTCCAGACTTTGTTCCTAGCCCATTGAGACTACTGCTTTTTATTTAGCTGCTACTCCTTGCTACCGATTGGAAAGTGCTCTGGGATGGCAACAGGAAGGAGCAGATGGGGAATCTAAGGTAAATTTGAATCTTACCTCTTGTGCACTTTCCTTCTTTAAAGATTTGTGGCCACTTAAATTCTCCCTTTTCCATTGCCTTTAGTTGTTAAAGATATTTATCTGTAGTGTGTATGTGTGCATGTTGCTGTTAAATTCATATTTACTCATAGTTTTATGTACATTTAATATATGTGATAGAATTGTCATATACACACATACACACACACACACACACACACACACACACACACACACACACACACACACGTGTCCTATCTTTATAAGAGTTTTCAGTGGAAGATCTAATCCAACATAAGACACTCCATCATTTCAAGCCTGTTTGCAACTTCCGTTCTTGATCCTTGGTTTTCATAGCTCATCCACTGTCCATAAATCTGCATTTCCACAACTGAACTCCTATAAATCTTAATATTGTCAACACCATCCCCCTGCCATTTTTCACTCCTGCATCCCAAAGTTCCTGATTCCCATAGTCATAATTTCCATTTCCAGGTCTCAAGACTTTTGTTATCTAATCTCAACTGTGATTCCTACATCCCAACATATCTGATGCCCACATCCCAAGCACCCATTATGATTTCTGACCTAAGATGTCTGCTGCACAATACCCCGTTATTTTAACTGCCTGTTGCTTTTGACTGACTTCTAAAACCCAACCACCTTTTAAGGCTATTGTTTTAAAATGGCATTTTTATCACCTCAAATGTTAGGTCCTTGAAGGAGAAACCATTATTTGAGTTTTGAATCATTTAATTTTATTTTCCCACCCCAGAATATTGTCAGCAGAAACATAAGGTTGTGATAACAACAATGGAGGTTGCCAAATACTCTGTGGATTCACCAGGCAATTTTGGAAACAAGAAGCCAACTGTTTTTTTCCTTTTAAATTTGAGTGACTGCTTAAGATTTCTGTTTTCAATTAACACTCTCTTCCATGAGGGTCTATCAACAAAATATGCATATAACTCCATCTCTTTTATGTCAGTTAATAAAATTTAAGATATAATTATGTCACTACAGCTATTAAAATTAGCACAGAATATGCTCCAGGACGTCAAATAATTCATCTCTATCACAAAACTCAGTTAAAGGAAGGACATTTAGAACCCTTAGGAATTATAAAATTATCTTTCTTTATGGAAACCAGCCTTCTGAAAAAGACAAATGGATCTTTGATCTTTGTACTTTTCAGGAGATTCAATTAACATTTGTAATTCTCATACCTTAGGAGATTCATCTAACATCTCTGAGTTTTGATGTGTTATTTCTAAGATCAGATGACAGTAAGTCTGTAATTCAAATAATTTTCTGGACAATATTATGAGATATGAAGCAGGAGAGCACAGTGGTTAGGAAAACAGAGTCTAGATTTGGATGTCAGCTGCATCCCTTAGCAGCTAGCAAACTTGAAGTCACTTCACCTCTCTATGGTTTCATTTCCTCATTTGAGAAATGGAGATGTCATAATACTTATCTCATAGGTTGCTGTGATGATTAAATTAGTTGATAATATGTAAAGTATTTGGAAGGTACTTGGCAAATAATAAGTGCTATATAAATAGTAATTATTATCAAGAACATTTATATTATTCTCTGAATATACTGTTTAAAATTATATGTTGATAGCATGGGATTATAATTTTAATCAAACAGACTAAGTTACTCCGTTTTTTTTTAATTTGCAAATTTACCAAACTGGATATTTCCTCATTGCCCTACTCCCACTTCACCCAGCTTCTCTAACCAGAAATATTTCAAAAGGTTGTGACATTATTTACATTACCTTTCTGTATGAAATGGAAAGGCTGTTAATGTTAATATTTTCATAAATTGTGAGACTGAAACGGCAAGTGTCTATCAGTACTTAAAAAGTAAAATCTATGATCATTTACTTTAGTAGCACTTTTAAACAAAGTAGACTAATGTTTTAGTGTACAATTCCCTTAGCTTATTCTACAATTGCAATTTGATTAAGTACATTTAGCAAGATTGCTTAATAACTCAGTAAGCTGTGGGAATCCAGCAGAGGGCAGGTAGGCGAGAGAAACAGGAGGGGAATGTATCCCCCAAATTCAAATTTACATCAAACCCTCCCAAAACACAACAGTTACACATTAATAAAATATTTACCAGTGTGTTTTATTATGCTGGCTAATTTTTGTTTTGTCAAGTCTTTGACCTTAAACATAATTACTTAAATATCCAATGTAAAACCAGAATACAATAATAATAAATTCTTCTCCACTGTTAATATGAATACGAGTTATTTCATAATCTTGATTATTACATATATACTAAAAAATATACATTATTTTCTTTAGATGGTTTTACATTTTTAACATACCGGCAATAGCAAAAGTATAATGCTCTGAATTAATAACGCCAGTACTGGCCAGGTGCCATGGCTCACACCTATAATCCCAGCATTTTTGGGAGGTCAAGGTGGGTGGATCACGAGGTCAGGCATTCAAGACCAGCCTGCCCGATGTAATGAAACCCCATCTCTATTAAAAAAAAAAAAAAAAGTGCCTGGGCGTGGTAGCCAGTGCCTGTAATTCCAGCTACTCAGGAGGCTGGGGCAGGAGAATCA